TCCACAACTCTCCCTTAATATTGCATTAAAGCCTGAGCGTTGATTATATACAAAGGTTTCTCAAGTGGAATGTTGCAGCAGAGGAACACAGGCCCAGTTACAGGGACCAAAAGCTGCAGTTGGTTTAAATGCCAAAAGCATGAGTCCAGCAGGGAGTAGAACTGCCCTACGACATTGGATCCTTAATAAAGAGAAGTTAGCATCATTCACAAACTGTTTGGTGGAACGCATAAGTCCTTAACCCTTATCAGTAGATCCTCTGTACAGTTTTTAATGTTTCTGCAGGTGTGTAAACATAAGCATACTTGAGATACAGGGCAAATCATGGGAGCTTCCTAACGTGTACAGCTCAGCAGCCAGACCATAAATCTCTGTTTACTCACTCCATACTGAACTCCATCAAGTGACTAACGATGTGAACATCAAAACCAATGACAATGGATGTGATCCATGAGTGGACTGAAACTCCAGTTGTTTCAATCAAAATTCCCAGTAGCAGTAAATTACATGTTTTCCTAGTTTCTGTACATGTTAAATGCAAATTGATTAAGCAATGGACCTTTTAAAATGTTTGTTGTATGAATCAAGTTCCTTCCCTTCATGAAGTTAAGAGGGAAAAAGCACTTGCATTTGTTTATCATCTTTCATGGCCACAGCATGTTGTCCCATAGCCAATGCAACATTTCTCTTGGAGGTGTCATTACTGCAGTAATGTAAGAACCATAGCAGTCATATTGTACACAGTACATTCCCAGAAGAATCAATGTGGTTATAACCAGATTCTCATTCCTTGTGAAACAAAAATGGAGATTGCTGGAAAGGCTCAGCAGGTGTGGCAGCATCTGTGAAGAGAAATCAGTTCTGAGGAAGAGTCACTCAACCTAAAAAGTTAACTGTGATTTCTGTCCACAGATGCTGCCAGGCCTGCTGAGCTTTTCCAGCAATCTGTATTTTTGTTTCCGATTTACAGCATGTGCAGTCCTTTTGATTTTTAATCATTTCTTCTGATGTTGATTGGGGGATAAATGTTGGTCAGGACATAGGTAAGAGGCTGTTCTTCCTCAAAAGTTGCAATCAGTTACCTGAGAGAGCAGACAGTATCATGTCTCATGCAAGAAAGAACACTTCTGGCAGTACAGCAGACCCTCAGTGCTAGACTTGATTTTTGTGCTCAAGTCCGTCAGTGGAGCTAGATCTCACCACCTTGCAACTCATAAACAAGATTGCTACCACTGAGCCATTGCTAGCACCTAATACTGATCATTATGCAGTCAAAACATAGGTATACTGAGGTCATAAAAGGCAATAAATAAGTGCAAATCCTTTGCTTCTTTCTTTAACTTTAATAACTTGCATAAATTGCAGAGAAGCCTTGGTATATTTTATTGCCTTACATATAACATCAAATGCTAATCAAAGCTTAATATGGGATGTTTCAGTTCTGCACAACTCATTACTGCATTGAAAAATACATTTGTGGAGCTACCAAGGGAATTGTACTCAATATTTTAATGGCTTATTAATCAGTTCATGATTGCAATCCATCATAACCATAAAGCCATTGAGGAGAGAAATAAATAATCTGCACATTACCAAGGAGTGTCCCATCTGGCAGACAGTAATGATGCCTTGAAATTGGCAAATGAGGAATCTGGTGCTTGGATTCAGGGATTTGCATCCCATTTGTAAATAAATATCACAAAAATACACGTGTGTAGATGTGTGCGCGCACACATGCCCAAGTGCACATACATATACCATACATGCTTGTGTAAAAGTTAAGTTTCAAATGGTTTTTGATTTAATTTGATTTATTGTCACATGTCCCTAAATGCAGTGTTTACGAGCAGTACAGGCAGAGCACGGTAAGCAAGGCCATACAGATCATGGGGGGAGAAAGAACTTGGACAGAGTAAGGCATATAGGTTACATCACACGGGACATGTACTAGACAAGATCAATGTGTTCCCAGCTGGTAAAAGAGATTGTAGGAGATCATTACCAGGGTAGGAGGGGTCTTTGATGATTTTGAGAGTTTTTCCGTGGCAACCAGACATATAAATGGAAGTCCATGAATGGGAGGTTGTCTTCCACGATGGTCTGGGTTGTGCACACAACCTTCTGTAGTTCCTTACGATCCAGGGCAGAACAGTTGCCATATCAGGCCGTTATGGACCTTGCCAGTACGCTTTCAATGGTGCATCTGTAGGAGTTGGTGAGGGTGCTTATGAACATGGCAAATTTCCTGAGCTGCCTGAGGAAGAAGAGGCGTTGTTCTGCCTTCTTGACTGTCGCTTCTGGTTGGACCGAAGGGTCTGTTTCTGTGGTGTATGATTCTATGACTCCATGCTAAATTTTTAGTCAAAAAGTAGGGTGCACCTCTAGAGGAGTAACACTTTCGGAGAGGTTAAGTCCATCCTCTCTCGTCATGGCACAATCACAATTGCCACAACAGAGGATGTTTCTGACAATGCCCCCTCCCACTGCCTACCCCAACCTCCCCCAATAGCAAAAAAGAGCCACATGTATTTTTGTTGTTACATTTTTAGTTGTAGATAAATAATACTGACCATGAAGACAGGTGTTTATCTTCTGTACAGTAATTTCTTCAAGTGTATCAAATCTATCAAAAAAAAGCCATATCTACAAATTCATACAATTTGGCTCTGGTTTATTCAGAGTGCAGGCAAAAGACAAAACAAAACACAGGGAAACTGCAAGTTTCTCAAAAATCTATAAAAACCAGCCTCATCCTCATCTTCAGAACTAAATAACTCATCTCAATCTGCTCCTTAAATAGTTTCATTCACTGGATCGTCAACATCACCTTCAGCAGCTTTTATATTGTCATCACAGAATCCCTGCAGTGTGGAAGCAGATCATTCAGCCCATCGAATCCACACCGACCCTCCGAAGTGCATCCCACCCTCTGCCAGGAAGGTTATGATGGGCTCTATCAGAGATGTGAAGCCTCTTGTATCAGGTTCACTTTGCAGTGATCCACCTGGGAGATGTTTAACTCCCTGAGAGTGAACCTGAAAATCCGCCCAACTTTACTCTATTTTACCTGGAGTGAGAGGTGTACAATAATGTTGGGGAGGATGAGGCAAGCAACCAACCTCTTCTTCTTTACCCAACCTTGCCAATGTAATCTCAGGGATTATGTGAGATCTGGGTGATTTTATCTCATTATTTAAAGAAGGACAGTTCAGAGAAGGTTTACTCAACTCATACCTGGAATGGATTGGATGTCTTATGAGGATGTGTTGGATGGACTAGGCTTGCATCTGCTGACGTTTAGAAGGACAAGAGCTCTTTGATGGAAATGTGAGATCTTGAGGGACCTTGACCGGGTACATGTGGAAACAAGTAGACCATTTGGTTCTTCGAGCCTGCTCCTCCCTTCAATATGATCATGGCTGATCATCCAACTCTGGACCCTGTTCCTGCTTTCTCCCCATAGCCTTTGATCCCATTAGCCCTAAGAACTGTATCTGATGCATTCTTCAAAACATTCAATGTTTTGGCCTCAATCGTTTTCTGTGGCAGAGAATTCCAAAGGCTCATCTCTCACTGAATGAAGAAGTGTTTCCTTATTTCAGTCCTAAATGGCCGACCCCAGACCCTTCAACTGGACTCCCCAATCAATGGGACCATGCTTCCTCCATTTACCTTGTCCGGTCCTGTTAGAATTTTTTAGGTTTCCATGAGATTCCCTCTCGTTCTTCTAAACTCCAGTGAATATAGCCTGAATTGCTCCCATCTCCTTCTTCATATGTCACTCTTGCCATCCGAGTAATCAGTCTGGGATAGCACTGTATTCTCACCTGAAGTCTTGCAACAGGTGACCCGTAGATGTGAATTATCGGCAAGGATAAAAAACAGCAGAGGGAGATATTAACTGTGGTTGGGCAGGTCTGTGTATAAGAAAGATGATAGATGCATGCTAACTATTTACAATTTAAAAAAAAATTTGAATGTCTCCAAAAACTCGCATCTTATTCTCCAAAAAGTTTCTTAAAAAATGTAACTAAACACAGTAGCCACATAAAGAAAGAAAATGTGACTCGTACTCCAGCATGACATTTACAGACTTATTACGGTCCCATTATAGGCTGACATTAATTGAACCTGCGGGTAATTCAGAGTTATTACAGTTTTGCATAACCATTAGAAGAATTTGACCTTCATTACTACTTCCTCAGGCTCAGCTCAAATTTAAATGCACGTGTGATCATTTTTTTCTCAGAATTGCCCCAGATCATTAATAGTTACCATTTGCCTCACCATCTATTGTGCATTAGCCCCTTGGACCTACTATAATGTGTTTTTCAATGTGGATGGTAATGAGTTATAATATATGATCTACAACAAAACTTTGATAGTTGCTGTTGAAACAGTTCAGATTCACGAGTTTAGAAATATTGGATGACTAATGTACAATGCAGGAATTAAAACCAGCTTACTTTTCTTTCACAACTACAGATATCATTAAGTATGTCACAGCCATTACTTATGACTGTACTAACGTGCAGTCCGATCTAGCAGACAGCGATGAAATTATCGATGTGTTGGTTGAGGAATAAATATTGACCAGTACTGCTGTCTGGCTCTTTTTTGAATAGTGCTGTTGGATCTTTTACAAATACCTGAGAGTGCAGATAGGTTTCTGGCTTACTGTCTGCTCCACAATGCAGACCTCTAATGGAGGGTTAGTGAGATGATGTGCAGAGGATTTTGGAGTGAGCGGGATCTGAATACAGAAAATGAATGAGTCACTGGTGAGGTGCCACCAATGTAGCACAGCTGACCTTTCCAGTCAGGTTTTCCAAACCTAGATTTTCAAACACATCCCTTTCTCCCCTTTGCTAGTCCCTGTGATACAAATATGCCCAGTGTCAGGAACGAGGTAGGGTGTGAGATCAAGTGTTATATGTTATGTTTTAATGCAATATAAGTTTGGACAAAGCATTTCAATAACCATCATTTTACTTTAACAGGGGCAATTTTTGATGAAACTGCCAAGAAGGATGATGAAGTGTTTCGACTGGCTGTAACTGACCTTAACACGAATGAGGACATTTTACAGACGGAGAAAATTACATTTTCTGTGACATTTGTGGACAGCAACAATCCTTTTCAGGTTGTCCAGGAAGGTAGGAATCAATTACCAAATGTTTGGCCCAGCTTACATTTGCCTTGTAATTGTTGATATTTATGTGCCGTTGCTGCTGCAGTTTGCCATTGCAATATCTAATGAGTTTTTTCTTTGGGCTCAGTGTTCCAGTGGAAAAATGTTGGTCCTTCAATTACAGAATTGTTTTGCACAATGAACTTAGAGCATTTGTCTACTAAAGCTTCAATAAAATGCATACAAAATCAGGCTTTTCTGAAACCTCAATGTTGTGTTCTTGTTGATAAAAAATTACAGTTGAATTGGTGAAAGAAAGGAGCAGATTTTGAAGGTAACACATCGAACAGAGAGCTGCCCTCAGATTGGACTCCCATGTTCTTCTCTGCCCAATTATACACTCCTTTGAGCTCATTAGGTCATTCAATTGGGTGTGGATGTGAATTGATGAAGTGATCTGATCCTGTCAGATTCCCACGACAGGGTTAATCTAAAATAGCTCCTGTGAATTTTAAATTTAGCATTCTTGCTTTTACTGATGATACGAAGAAAGCTAGAAAAGTAAGTTGTGAAAAAGGCAGAAAGAAACAGTCTGCACAGATAAATGGATTATTATTTTTTAATTTAAGAAGATAAATAGACTAAATCCATAGGGAAAAGATTTGACAGGTGAAGTGTAATTTGGGAAAATGTGAACTTCTTCACTTTGGCAGGAAGAAGAACAAAAATACATGGAACAGAATTGCAGAACTCTGTAGTACAGAGGGATCTGGGTGTCCTTGTGTATGAATCACAAAATGTTAGCGTGCAGATGCAACAAGTGATTAAAAAGGCAATTCTAATATTGTCATTTATTGTAGCGGGAACGTAATATAAAAGTACAAAAGAATATAAAAGCTTCACTTGTATGGGTTAGTAGTAAGACAGCATTTGAAGTACTGTCTAAAATTTTGGTCTCAGCATTTAAGAAAGGACATAATTGCATTGGAATAAGTTCAGAGAACATTCATTTGACTGATGAAGCAGTTATTCTTTGAGGAAAGGTTGCATAGGTTGGGACTGTGTCCGCTGGACTTTAGGAAAATGACAGGTGAACTAATTGAAACATAAAAAATTTTGAGGAGGCTTGACACGAAGGATGTTGAAATGATGTTTGCCCTTGTGGGAGAGACAAGAACTAGGGGAACAGAGTTTACAAATATGAAGCCCCCATTGTAAGACAGAGATTTTTTTTCTCTTTCAGAAGGTTAGGAGTCTGTGAAATTCTTTTCCCCAGAAAGTGATGGTGGCTCGATCATGGGATATTACTAAGGCAAAGGTAGATAGCTCCTTGGCTAACAAGGGAGTCACAGGGCATTATGCATAGTGAGGAGTGGAGTTGAGGGCCACAATCAGATCATACATGACTGTATCAAAAGGCTGATCAGACCCAAGGTATTAATTGGTATTTTTCTGCTCCTAATCATATGGTTGGTCTGGTGAGTGTGAAGGTGGAAACCCTTAGCAACATATCTCTCTTTTCAGCAAGGTTTTTCTTAGTTAAGTATCTTTCCAGGAAAATGGAATTGATGTTTAGATCAATTAGAATGTAGTTACATCGAAAAATGGGCTGAATGGTATCTTCCTGTTCCTATTGTCACAGCAGTGAACTGTAGGATGGAGTGCATATTGACATCACAAGGACAAAATGTGTGCACCTCTCTGGTATTCTGAAAGTGTTCTGAAATTTCAACTTGTCTCAATGCAAGGAAGAAATCAGGCTGTACCAATTTCTCCCTTTATCCCACTCCTGGGTTAATTCAAGAATTTCTGTATCTAAATGATCCTCAGGTACTCTCTTTTGAAGGATGTTAAGTTGTTTAACAGATTACAGTAAATTTTAAATAAACTGGCTGATAGAGATCCAGTCAACATTGTTCCAGTTCCAGACCATTTTGTCATATTAATGTTTCAATTTTTGGAGAGAGTGCTCATTTTTACTTTTTAAGTGAATAAAATGTGACATCCATGTACTTACGGAGATAATAAAGCCAAAAAATTCCACATTTTTGAACAAATATCAATAAACCTAACTATACAACATTAAAACAGTAATGCATGCATCTGCATGTGCCACTGATATTTTAATATACAGAATTAGCAGATGGTAAACGTGGGTTGTGGAAAATGGTCAAACAAGGCACAGTCCACTTCCCATAGCAAATGAGATCAAGACAGATCTCACGATTCCTCAGCAACATCAACATAAAAAAAAACTCGTAAATTCAGTACTGTCAATTGAATCACTATAATTATGAGTTGAGAGACAATTTAGTGAACATATTAAAGTTACCAACTTAATTCAGCATTTTGCTTTCAACTCTGCATTTAGAAATAGCTTGGTCTGTGAAGCTATTTGGTTTTTGAACGTTTTAGCTGATTGCATTTTGAATTGGTTTTTGGCTATTAACTTAAATTTTAAGTTTTAGTTATTTGTAAATTTTTAAAATATTCTATAGAGTCGGACGAGTTGGGTAGCTGTTTTGAGAGCTGATACAGACATGATGGGTTGAATTCCTTCTCTATAGCAAAATTCTATGATTCTGAAAAAGTTGTGCTGGTTATTTTTTGAGAAAATTTAGATCTGAGATTCATCTGTGGGGATATGCTTACAGTCTGATCTTTCACTGCTCCATTTGGCCATTCCAGTTCTCTGTACAGTATACACCAAGATTTTGTTCTGGAAAAATAACTTTAATTGAGGGTTGTCCTCAAAGTGAAAATGGGTGACCAAAAACCAATGCGACCAACACTCGTAGGGAAAAAAGAACACAATTTAACAGATGACTTTTACTACCTCTGGGTGGAGAGAGGAGAGTGTTGGTGAACCCATACGTGAGAATGAGGTGTTGTTGAGTCTATGGGTTCACAGGAGCATGGAGTAATATCTGAGGGCAAAGATGTTATAGCTTCAAACAATATGGACAATCACCTTAAATACCTGCCTTGGATAGTCCCATCAACTCTGGTATGACTGGCCATCCTGCGAAGAACTTCTGCAGCACATGCAAAATAAATGCTTACAACAAGCAGGATTCATCACATTTGCACATTGGAAAGTTTAAAGAACTGAATAGTGAGGTTTATTTCTATAATGTTCAAAGCTGGGGAAGATTGAATTTCCTCAGAGTGGAGCTGGCTTTGTCACATAACTGGGATCTTTTTGCAGTTCAACCACTGTTATGGAAGTGGAGTGGAAGAGCCATGTGGGAAATTCTTTCCTGTCACCCACAACAGTTTCTTTTTCTCCTTTATTCTCAGGACATTGGCTTTGTTGGAATAATTTATTCACTATCTCTAATTGCTGTTGAGAAGGTGGTGGCAAACTGCCTATGTGAACCTTTGCAGCCCACGTGTGATGTGGATATTTTCACAGTGCCGTTAGATAGGGATTTCCAGGATTTTGATCCTGTGACAATCAAGCAACATTGCCATATACTTTCAGCTCAGGATTGTACATTACTTTGAATTGGTGATGTTCCATATATTAACTCTCATCTTATTTCATCACGTTACGTTAACATGTATTCTGATCTGACATTTGATTTTAAATGTTATCTCCTTATGTTGTCAAATTTAATTGCTTGGATAACACTCACTATGCCAGTTATTTAAAGGTTATTAATAAAACGGTTCATTTCACATTACATTGCTTTAATGCCTAAATAGTTTTTGAGAAATGGGTTGTAATTTTTAATTAAACAGACATTTTTTGTGCATATCTCATTCACCCCTACCAATTGGGACTTAACTCTCAGTTTGTACACAGGTGTCAGATAAAACAGCTGATCCTCAACACATTGCCTGTTGGCTGATGCTGTGTTATTGCTAGGGAAGTTGCAATGTCTCTGACCCTGCTGGGGTCTTCCTCTCACTGTGCATGCTAGCAGCTTTCTACTTTGTGGTGTTTTGGAAGGAACTGGGTCAAAGGATTTAACGCAAGTGAGCACAGTCAGATTTTCCAACAGCGAGCTCTGCTTCTTGAAATACCTCTGGACATGCCAGCTATGAACCAATAATTGACATTTATGTGACACTGAACAAAGCTGAACTCCATGGTTATTGCCATAGTACATAGGTGGGTCAAAGAAAATCACTTAAATGTACCCCATGGGCATTGCTAATTATTTCATTTACAAGTTTTGTTTTGCTTTAAAGGAGTTAAAAAAATGTTTACATCTTGGGATATTATACCCCCTCGATGGCTTTACTTGTTGCTGTTGAAAGTGGTTTCTGCTACCTTGCTCATACAAGACAATAGGGATACTCGGTAGGAACAAAAACAGAAGTTGCTGGAAAAGCTCAGCAGGTCCGGCAGCATCTGTGAAGAAAACATCAGAGTTAATGTTTCGGGTCCAGTGACTCTTCCTCAGAACTGTGTGTGGGGGATACTTGCTAGGCACTGGCTTTCTCATATCTGAACGTCCAGCATCTTCAATTGACAGTCCTTGCTCTGCCGGCTTTTACTTCACTCATTATTTTTAAACTGACCTTAACTGCAGCTGGGGAAGTTGAGGAATTTTGAGAAATATTGACGAACCCAAGGGCTGGTTTTATGAGTCAGGCCTCATTTAACATGTCACTTGCTGACTTCCAGACTGAAAGGACTATGGGGTGTCAGCAGGAAGCAGGTGCCCAGCCACTCAAATTGGTCAAGCGCAAGTCCTCAGGGTACGGACTCTCGAAGAATGGAAGTGCTTCAGAAGCTCTCTTTTCAGATCAGAACCAGCCAATTCCAAGTTGTTTTAATGGAGGAGACGAGGAAACACAAAGGCAGAAGATGTCTGTTCAAAGAACAAAGAACAATACAGCACAGGAACAGGCCCTTTGGCCCTCCAAACCTGTGCCAACACATTTTGCCCTTCCATACTAAAACTGTCTTCATTTACAGGATCTGTATCCCTCTATTCCCTTTCTATTCATGTATTCACCCAGGTGTTTCTTGAATGCTGCTAAGGAATTCTTCCCTAATACGTTAACGTGGGA